GGCGGGAGGTACTAGCCCGTCCTGTGATCTCTTCTGCCCAGTTACTCTCTCCGCAGGGCTCCTGGCGGCTGATGCCGCCGCTGTCTGCCAGGAACCACCCTTACCCGCGGCTCGTTGCTGGGTGGGTGGATGGATTCACCCATCTCAGACACGCGCGTGTCAGGGTCTTCCTCTCTAGCCCCTGCAAGTCCTGCAGGATGTGGGAACATTGCTGGTGTGGGTAGTGCCCTGTCCCCATGCGCAGGCTTTCTTTGAAGCTGCGGGGCCGGATTCACCCTCGGGCATACCTGGCTTGCTCCGTTGCACGGCGTTACTCTGGCCCCAGCGGTGGGTAGGAGCACCCGGAAAAGTGCCCCTCTTGCCCGGCTACAAAACGAGCCCCGTCGCTTCTTCCCAACCCACAGCTCCGGAGTCCTTTCCCCTTCTCCCCTTTGCGCTGGATCTTGTCCTCCGCAAATGATTCCTGTGACTGGCTTTCATGATCGCTTGGTGCCCAGTGGGGGCATCCCTGCAGCCCCGGTTAGGCGGCCGGCTTAGACCTCCCCAGCGGTTTGTCACCGATGCGCCTTGTCACCAGCAGCGGGTCACTTCACTGTGTCCTGCTTCGATTTCTCCAGTGGCCAGTTGCAGTGCCACCTCCTCTCCCGTGTAAAACGCCTTGGCCAAAAAGACAGACGGTGGATTTCTCCCGGGACAAAGCCTGGGAGCTTAACAGACCCCCCCCCCCACGCTCCCGGAGGGCAGGTGTTATGAGTACGCCCCCAAATTGCGGCTGTCCTCGCTGGGGTCCTGATGACAGCCCCCTGCAATCGAGCAGGATGCAATGAACGGAAACAAAACGCCAACAACAAGAAGCTGCAGGTGCTCGGGGGAGGGGGGATCTCGGCCGGTGCAACTGCTCGTCTAGGTTCTCGCCGCCCCCGTGGCGGGGTGGGGGTCTAAGGCACTTTCCCCCGTGGATTTGATTTGTTGCCCCCTTTGCTCCTGTCTAGCGTGCCGGGGCCGGGGCTGGGGCCGGCGCTGCCGGCTGCTCGTGCTCATTGCTCGCTCCTTGCCGCCCCCCGCCTCGGAGCCGCGGTGCGGGTCGGATCGGTGCGAACAAGGCAGGAATAATTCAAGGGGGTGGAGGGACACGTCCCTGACCTTGTCGGGACCGTTTGGAAACTCGCCCCAGCTCGGAAGCGAGGCAAGCGGGGCGCGGCAGCGGTGCTGAGGGGCCGTGGCCGGGGGTGCCAATGACACGGGTGACTGGCGGTAGCGGTCGTGCGGGGGTGCGCCCCGGGGGGGAGCTCCCGCCGCCCGGGTGGCGCTGGCGGAGGTGCGGCCCCGCCGCCGAGAGCTCGGCCCGTGC